AATTTTAAATTGATACTTCTGAATGGCCCTCAAATGATGCTATAACTATCCAAATGGCCCTGGGCAGCAAAATAGTTGCCCACCCCTGCTATAGACCAAACTCCCAATAAAGAGTGATGGCCTGGTTGGTCAAACACTTGACTCGGCTGCACTTTGTCCAGGGGGATGAAGGAGAGACCAGCGTTTTCTGGATAGTAAGTGATGCACCAAGTATGTACTGCAGGAGACCTGGAGATAGAGGAATGAATAAGCCACACCCCTTACCTTTGGGAGAATTAAAGGCCTGATGGGCAAGGTGATCACATAAAGATATAATTTTGGCCGAAACCGGTTTGGCTCAGTGGTAGAGCGTCCGTCTGTGGACTGAAAGGTCCCAGGTTCGATTCCGGTCAAGGGCATGTACATTGGTTGCGGGCACATCCCCGGTGCGGGGTGTTCAAGAGGCAACTGGTCGATGTTTCTGTCTCATCGACATTTCTAGTTCCCTATCTCTCTCCCTTTCTTCTCCCTGTAAAATATCAATAAAATATATTAATAAAAAAAGATATAATTTTAGCTTATTATTGTTAACAGTTGTTACAAGCTAAAAAAAAAAAAAAAAAAGAAAGATGAAGAAAATAGGCCTAGCCCCAGGAGAGGATGTATCAGCTCACCCAGAGGCATTCAAAGCAGGTTCCTTAAAAAGAGATGACATTTGAGTTAACTCTTAAAAGACAAGTGAAAATTATCTAAGGTACAGGTATTCCAGACAGCACCCTCAGCAAAGGCACAGGTGCCCACACTGCTCACAGCATGTGTGTGCACGGTGGGTGATAAGAGGGGACTGGGAAAATGTTAGTCTTGGCGGGATGTTAGCTGCAGAATCAGAGGGGAACCAGATCACTGAGGGCCATGTTAGGCCAGATTCCCGTGTTAATAGGAAGAATAGAAGCTGGTATTTAGTGAGCATTTACTATGTTGCAGGCACTATGTTAAGCACTTTAGAATATAGTATTTTATTGAATCTTCTGCAGAACACCATAAACCCCATTTTACAAATAATGACAATGATGGTGGGAGAAGTAACATCATTGCAACAGGCTACACAGATAGTAAATGGGAGGTGGGTTTGAAACCCAGGATAGCCTAGTTCCAAAGCTTGTACCCTTTACTCTTCTACCTGCAAGTCTAAGCTGGAAGAAAGACTGGATGGGCACATGCATATGCGTCCCTCATTCTGGCTACAGACTGAAAACTGAGGTAGCCAGTTTTCTTTTTAAGGAAACCTGCTTTGAATGCCTCTGTGAACTGATACATTCTCTCCTGGGGCTAGGCCTATTTTCTTCATCTTAGCTTGTAACAACTGTTAACAATAATAAGCCAAAATTATATCTTTTTATTAATATATTTTATTGATATTTTACAGAGAGGAGGAAGGGAGAGAGATAGGGAGCTAGAAATGTCGATGAGAGAGGACCTGAAACAAGGCCTGTGTGGAAAAGAATAGATCAATGAAAAAAATGTTCAGTAAGACTGAGAAGGAAATATACCCACCTCCTAGCATTCAACAAGGAAGTGGACTTTGGACAAAGGGGTCTGGAAAATAACCTGCCAGGGCTCCCTAATGCTTCCAAATGTACAGAATTAAAATGTGAATGTTCTGCCAAAGCCGATTTGGCTCAGTAGTAGAGCATCGGTCTGCGGACTGAAAGGTTTGATTCCGGTCAAGGGCATGTACATTGGTTGCAGGCACATCCCCGGTAGGGGGTGTGCAGGAGACAGCTGGTCGATGTTTCTCTCTCATCAACGTTTCTAGCTCTCTATCTCTATCCCTTCCTCTCTGTAAAAAATCAATAAAATATATATATATATTTTTAAATGTGAATTTTCTCTTCGCCTTCAACAGGCTGCCACATGTTAAACTCCATGAGGGCAGAGACCATGCCTCTTACTCAGTGGCTGTCTCCTGGTCTGAGCCCCTTGCCTTGCATAAGGAAGCACTCACTATAAATACTGTTGAGAAGGAAGAATGAGTAATAGCAACTTTTTACAAGGGCCCCCAGGAAGTGTCATTCTTCGTTAAAAAAAAAAAAAAAATAGGGCCAAAGGATAAAGAAAACCTTTAAAAGTTGGGTTGATAACCGAGGATTGGTAAACTGGAGAGAAAAACATGTAGCATGTATGCGGACTACACAGAGGACAATGAGGACGCATCACCATGGGATGCCATCTCTATAAAAAGGTGAGGAGCAGAAACAGGTTTGGCTCAGTGTATAGAGAATCGGCCTGCTGACTGAAAGGTCCCAGGTTCCATTGCAGGGAAGGACATGTACCTTGGTTGTAGGCACATCCCCAGTGGGGGGTGTGCAGGAGGCAGCTGGTGTTTCTCTCTCATTGATGTTTCTAACTAGCTCTCCCTTCCTCTCTGTAAAAAATCAATAATATATATATATATATATATATATATATATATATATATATATATATTTTTTTTTTTTTTAAAGTCGAGGAATCCAGAATGTGATGAGTGTTCTGCATAAATCATAACTGGTTAAAAAAAAAAATAAGATATTGTTAAAGGAAGTGACTTAGAAAAGGAAATGTGCTATCTGGTAACAAAAGCAATGAGACCTAAGATCACATTCTGGGCCTACTGCTTTCTGACTCTGACCAAAGCAGCACATCATCAAAGTGACCTTAGGAAAACAGTTGATTAGTATGACACTTTTACCAACATTTAGTCAGTAGCAAGCAACTCTTGTTAGGTATTTGAAATATGGAAGTCACATTTTTCAGATTGGAAGAGTTTCCCAACATGTAAAGTTTTTCCTCAAAAGAGTAATTACTTAATTCTGAGCATTTAAGGAAAAATGAATCTATTAATTTAAAATTTTTTTAAGTTAAATATATTTCTTAGTGAATTTTTTTCTTATATGCAATCCTTTGCTCACTTATCAATCTGCTAAACAGAACATGTGTGTTTGTGTGTGTGTGTATGTGTGTCCTGATAAGATGCGGTAAATAATCTCATTTCCTCATATCTTATCATGAATTAAGATATCTTGAAAAAAGTTTTGACAGTTGACCAATTATGTTGGAAAATCCTGAAACCATTTACTTATCTGGAAAATGTAAATGTAATCATGAAATTAGTTTTCTCATCTTCACTATCATTACTTTCAACCTTCAACTAGCTTCAAAAATTTTATTTCAAATGAATACTCATTCAAAATGATTGCTTAGTTCAACCATTTTGAAACTTTAATTCCATAAAGATATGAAATCTGTGGGGTTTGTAAAACTGTTTAAAAGCCCAAATAAAAAGCCACTAGGCTTTTAATTGTTTAAAAGTGTGTACATAGATGAAATGAAACTGACTCATGAACTACTGAGTCTGGAATTTGTAATCATAAATCTTAAACTTGTAAACAAAACCTAACAAATCAGAGCCCACAAATTTCCTTCTTTCATAATCTGAAACAAAAATTTTAATGATTTTGCACGTACAGAGAAAATTAAGGGTGCATTTAAAATATTTATTAGTTAGCTATAACTCAGTTTTTAAGAGTCTGGGGTATAATCAGAGACAGTTGAACATATTGAGCATTCTGGTACTGAAATGTAGGACAACATCCAAGAATGAAACACCGGGATTTAATTTAACCCTAGAACTCACATTTGTATTAGGAACTTTTGTATAAAATAATGCTTCTTCCTCGTTCCATTAACAACTCCCATCTCCATGTCAACCTTCCATATGAAATTCTCAATCCCCTGCCAACAGTCTGGAATGCACCAGTTAGAATCTGGTGCATATTTCTTCCAGACATACCTACAGATAAAGCTAACTTCTGCCTTAGAGTGATGGTGTGGACTGTCAAACCCTCTCCATTCCTTCCCAAATCTACACAGGGCATCTACAAGTCACCGCAGGGGGGAGGAGAGGGACAGAAGATGAGGAAATGGAAAAGTATCCAAATCTAACCATGCCATTTTACAGATGAGAAAAACTGAGCCCTGCAAGGTCCAAATACTAAGCTACCCAGACCACAGTTGTAGATACTCTGCTATATGGATCCTAGCTGAAAAACAAACAAATTTTTAAAGTGTCAGGGGCTAGGTACTTTCCAAAACACATCTTGAAGTGTTCAGTTCATTCATTTCCCCTCCCCCAAAAGAGAAACCTCTAGAGATAGAGATCTGTTGGGTGCAGTTTACCATTTTCATTTAACCTTTCCGTTTCCACCCAGATAATTGCAGAGAACCATTAACTCCCCAGAAGATAGGGTTGTCTTGCTGCAGGCAACCCCTCAGGCACTGTGCACCTAGCAGGCCCTGGGTCAATAGGTCAGTAATTCTCCGCCTCCACCTGACCATCCCCAGCCCCTGAAGCATCCAGGCCAGCCAAGCCTTCCGTGGAGTCAGATAACTTTCCTCTGCAGATCGCCTCTTTTTTTTTCTTGAGAGTTTTAACCACCCAGTAACTCTGGGCCAACAAGCCGGTCTGGGGGGGGAGTGTGTGGCTCTGCCCAGGGGCTAAGGATGTAGTAACCGGTCCTGTAGGGGGGTGGCCGGGCAAGCCCTGGGTAGACACGCAGCATCGCCAAAGGGCCACCGGGGCCCCAGGTGTGCCAAGTGCTCTGGCGGCCTCCAGGCCGCGGTTCCCTTGCCTCCTCCAGATCACCAACTTCTCAAACTTCCCTTTCCGGGGGCTGGGGCGCGCCTCGAACGAAGCCGACACACAACGCCTTTCCTGCCCGCACAAAGGGGGCCCGGCGCGCCCCGCGCCCCCTGCAAACTTGAACTTCCCTTCTCTTTGGAAAGCAGGGCTCACCCACGCCCGTGGCTAAGGGGATCGGGGTGCGCGATGCCCCAGGAGGAAAGGTTCCCGTTTCTGCCGATCGCTGCGTCCCCGGGACCAGCCTGTCAAGCGCAGCGCAGAGGCGGGGAGACTGGGGTTGGTGGTGGGAGGGGGGGGGGACCCCAGGCGCCCCGCCAAGCCCTGGCTGCGGGCCACTCACCCGACTTCTGGACGTGCGGAGGGATCGTGCTGGCGATGCGCGTCCACAGGACGATGTGCAGCGGCCACAGGCCCCGGAGCAGCCCCCGACCCATGGCAGCCCCCCGCCGATTGTCATAGACCGGCGCCCCGGCGCCTCCCCGGACCCCTGGCTGCGCCTCCGCGCCGCGCCCTCTCGGGGACCCCGCGCCTGGGCCGGCCGGGCAGATGTGCGGGCCAGATGTGGCGCTGGCTGGGCAGCGGCGAGGAGGAGGGGGCTGCAGGCCGGCGAGGCGCGGGGAGGCCCCCGGCGGCCGAGGGGAGCAGCGCAGGAGGCCCGCTCCTGCCCCGGTCCCGTCCCGTCCGGGCGTGTGCGCGCGCGGGCGTGCAGTCGGGCCGGGCGCGCGGGTGACTCACTCCGCTTCACCCGGCGCCACGGGGGGAACAGGAAACTCCTCGCCAACAGCTGGGCAGGACCTCCCGCCGCCCGGAGCCTTCTCCCAGCTCCGCTCCCAGCCCCGGCTCGCTCTCTCGAGCTGCCAATCAAGTCCCGGAGACCAGCCCCTCCCAGGGCTCCGGCCAACTTTTAGCTGCCCCTGGCCGCCCTCGGGAGTCCCGGCTCCGAGGATTGACTCCGCGGTGACTAAGCGCACACGTTTCACCGAGTAACTGCACGGAGGAAGTGTAGGTACTTTGCAAAGCACCCCCACTGAGCACCTTCCCCTTCCCCCTCCCCCCAACTTCTCAGGATGGTTCCAAGGTGCTTGCTTTAGAGCTGTGTTTGCAAACTGCAAGCTGCAACCCAGAGGTGGATGCTGAAATCCAAAGGAGTTGGAGCACTTTTTTTTTTTCCTGTTAAAATCGGCAAAGTATTGCCTGATGAAACTTGTGTTTCAGTTATGTAGGCAGTATAGGTGGAAGTTGAGAAGTTTTTTTTTGTTTGTTTGTTTTTGTTTTTCTCATATACTGTGCCTATGGATCACCTGAGACTCCTGTGAGAATGCAGATTCTGCTTCAGCACCTCTAGGTTGGGGCATTTCTGATGAGCTCCTGGGTGGTGGCTCCCATGACTCTTGCGGGGGGAGTGGAGCGGGTGTGATTCAGTGAAGAATTGTACATGATCAGTCATCACAGAGTTATAATGGCGGGAAAGTGTATCCTGTGTGGCAAAAATAAAAATTAAAAAAAAATTAAAACAAAAGTGGCCTGGAGGTCCACTGGAAAGCCCGGGTGTGCATTCCAATAGTGCCAGCGATGAGAGAGAAGACATAGCCTCAGCTCTGCAGCAGGTGAATTCGTGGGAGCAGAACAGGAGAAACTTTCAACTTCCCCTTCTTGATAGGGGGACCAGGTGTGCCCTCAAACACTTTTGGTGTACATGTGTTTTGAAGTTAATCATTACCCAACCAAAAACACATTCTCTTTTGCATGTGTCTCACTTGGACAGCGAATTATAGGCCCACCCTACTAACAGCTCCGGAGGCTTGGATTCCATATAACCCTCTGGCCAGGGCCTCCTCCAGCAGGTTCAACAACTAGCTCCTTTATCTGAGACAAAGATTGTTCACAGAGAGGCAAGGTGGCCAGGCTTATCGGAAATGCATCAAGTCAATGGCCTTCCCCGTAACCCCAACTCCCTGGGTTCATTTGCTGGATCTGGACACCCTAAGTCATGCCACCATGGTTCTAGCCGGCATCGAAGCTGCCTCTGATTGTGTTTTTTAGGCAAATGCCACTTTCCCAGGTCTGAGGGTTAGGGGGCAGGAAGGGCAGGGAAATGTGGAGGACTTAGTACCTCCTTGCCCACCAAGGACACTGGCAAAATTGGAGCCATTTTGCCGAAACCGGTTTGGCTCAGTGTTAGAGCGTCAGTCTGCGGACTGAAAGGTCCCAGGTTCGATTCCGGTCAAGGGTATGTACGTTGGTTGCAGGCACATCCCTGGTGGGGTGTGTGCAAGAGGCAGCTGGTCGATGTTTCTCTCTCATCGATGTTTCTAGCTCTCTATCTCTTTCCCTTCTTCTCTGTAAAAAATCAATAAAATACATTTTTTTTTAAAAAATTGGAGCCACTTGAAGATGCAGAAAACTTGAGTTCAAATCTGCTTCTCCCCATTTCCTTCTCCACAGCCACCTGGTCTCTCCCATTGCCATCCCTTGAGCACAAGTCCCCTAGCCGCTCACCCTCAGGAGGGCCATTCTGAGCCCTTTTACTCAGTTTCTCAAACCAGACCTGAAGTTGGTGTTTCAAAGTGCAAACCGGAGCATGCCCACCTTCTGATGAAAATCATGCAATGGTTCTCACTGCTCTTGAGATGGAGGGTAGGAACCGTATGGATGCCTTTGCATGCCTTCAAGCCCCCTTCTCTCTCTTATAACTTTCCATTGGACTTTCCCTCCTCTCCTGCTGAGGGCCTTCTCTACAGGCCTAGAAAATACCCTTTGTTCTTCCCACACAGAGCCTGTCCCTGGACACACTTCCCTTCCTCTGACCTTCCTTTCTTCTTCACCCAACCAACTTCAGATCAAACTTCTGTCATGGACAAGCTTTCCCTGGCCCCCCTTTCATGATAGGTTCTCCTGGCACCAAATGCCTCTCTTTTTTAATACTTACCATGGCTATAAATTTATCATTCTGTAACTTCTATTCCTCTTCCTGACGTAAATCCAAATTTTTTTTAGGACAAAGATCAGTTTCCCTCCACTCATTATTGTACCCCCAGCACCTAGCACAAATAGGTGTTCAATACATTTTTGTTGCATGAATGAGCAAAGGAGATAATAAAGATTCAGAAGGGAGCTACACTTAATCCTCCTAGTTATTTCATGATTCTAAAGAGGGCAATGTATTACCTAATAAAATGAGATAAACAAGTTAGATTTTAGCTGAGGGTGATGTCACTAACTACTTCCTTTTCTTAAAAATAGAGAACTGTGTAAGTTTCCTTTTTTTTTTTCTTCCTTTTTCTAAATTTGCCCAAGTTCCTCCACATAGCATACATTTGTTTCCTTTCTCCCCAAAACACACTGAGGCAAATAAATGTCCGATTGATTCTAAAGACTTTATTTTCTATACTTATTGCAAAGACAGATGTTTACATTGTTAGAGACGAGGTTTGAGGTATTTCATTCTATGGTGGGCCCTGTCATCATGTATCACTAATGCTGATTTCAGTTTCCTTTGCCATTAACATTTCTTTTTATTATTATTATTATTGATTATGGTATTACATAATTGTCCTCATCCCCCCTTTCCCATCCCAATCCCCTCCTCACATATGCCCCACCCCCCTGTGCCATTAACATTTCTGATTTGATCCTCAATATCCTGCGAAATTGATAGTCTGAATTCAACATTGCCAAGTGCAAACTTCTCTTTTAGCAACCATCATAATGAAATCAGGCATGTAAGCACACCTATGACAACTTGACAATCTTGAAAATTTGTCAAGATTACCTTCCTTTCGGGATTCTCATTGAGAGAGAAATTTAACATCCTTGATCAAGACATAGTGTCACACATCATTGTATATTTGACTAAATATAATTTTCTGTATATTCACATAGGCAGTTAATATGCATATGCAAAAAATCGGGCCACTTGCAGATAGAAACAAACAAACAAAAGCTCAACTCAGAACTTAAAAAACAAGGAAGGTAGTGTTTGAGCCCTTACCAGGTTGAACAAGGATAAAAACCAAACTGAACCAAAGTTAAACAGCTTAAATATCTTCATTTACAATCACTAAACACACACATAAAACAAATGAACTGAATCAAAATGTGATTAATGTGAGCCCTGCATTTCTCAGTTGTGATTAAGCAAGAATTTTCTACTCCCCTGAACTTGTTGACATGCAGCTGTTGAGGTTACTTTATTCAACCCAAGTGACTAGAGCAGTTGACAGGGAGATTCCTCTTCGTGTAAATCAATCACTCTGCATTCTGGGCTCTTATCTCTTGCCCGATTTTCCTTCTATTGTGAAGCAGACCATTAAGCACTGAGACACTAGTGAACTTGTGAGGGTCACCCACCCTTTTAAGGTCATGGGTGATGCCATGCCCTCTGGGAAACATTTTGTGATAATATGATCTCTTCTCTCCCTGGGAGAACTTAAGGAGCATTACATTTACTTATCTTTTTATGTATATTATCTTCAATAGAATGAAAAATAATATCTATTTCCCTAATCCATTCTGTTGTTTGCAATTCTTCCTGATATTAATAGAGCCTGCAAGTGTGTCACATGTTTACAGAAAGCATGAATAGCTCCTTTGGAAAAAATAACTTTAAAGAAAATTACAACAGTAATTTATAGATTACTTTTAGTAGAGTAAAATGTCTGAAATATGAACAAGCCAAAGGTGGAAAATAAAAAGAACCTCTTAACTTTATCACAAAGAGATAATCACTGTCCACCTTTTGGGACACATCTTTGCAGTACTATTCTAACTTTCACTTTCCAAGTAAAAGAATTTGAGGGTTAGAGAGGTGAAGTACTCAAGTACTTGGCAAAGGTCACATGTCTAGATGGGAACTGAACCCGGATTTGAAGTAAGGCCTATCGAGCACCAGCGAACTAATACACCCTCTTTCCTGTTTGCTTGTTCAGCTGTTTCTTCTCAATATCTTTACAGGCTTGTTTTTCTTCCACTTATTGTTCAAATGGAAGTGCTTACCAATGCTGTTTTCTACCCCTCTGTCACTCCTGCTGGGGACACATCTGTTTCTATGGCTTCACCAATATACCATGATTCAAAAGCTAATGATCAAGTTCAAATTTATCATCAAAGCTACAATTATTGCAACTACCTATTCTCTTCATAGATGTTCTGCTGGCATCCACACTTTTTGCTCTGAAGAGGAACTCCAACATGTATGCCCCCTTGGCACATTTCCTATATAAAGTAAAGGCTCCATTACCAATGGGTAATCCAAGCCAGCAGCATAAAAATAAGCTAAGAGTTTGCCTCTATTTTACCCATCAGAACTTAGTAGGCATTTGGGTATATTTACTTCCAAAACACCTCTTAAATCGATTTTGTTCTCATCCTCATCATTCACATTGTTTTAGTTCTATTTCTTATTTCACTCTCTTAATCTTCTTGCCTCTCGTCT